TAATGCATTAAAATATGTTCAGAATTTGAGAATGCTCTAGCTAATCAAGGGTAGCTTGTACAATAAAGTACAACTTTTTCTTGTTGCCTTTTTAAGTCACCGTAACTTTAGAGGCATTGAATTCTTTCCAGTCTAGATAGAGTATCTATTGTGTCTTCAAAAACTGTGTTAAATGTTTTAGAAAGGGGTTGTGTTGTTTTCTACACTGACAGGATCTCTCCAAAAACAATGGTTTTGTTCCCAAAAGGGTGAATAATTCAGTCTTCCACCTTGATAACTCATTATTACCGTGTTATTTTGAGTAAGACACAAATGTCAAGGTCTAAAAGCTTTAACACTAAGCAGGCACAAATGAGAAAAAAAAAAATAGCTGAATACAAAATCATACAGTACACACAACAATGTGAAAGCCCTAGGGAGATCTATCAGAAAAGTCCTCAGAAAACAAAACACCCTTCAGTGCACATGCCAGTAAGCACCCAGAACCGGATTCTCATCAGGCAAAGAATACCTACTTTGAGCTGTATACCATAAAAGAGTGAGCTATGGTAAGACAAATTAATATAAGTAATAACACCAATTAAGCATCAGAAAACATGGAAACTAATTACAGGCAAAAATTCACAGCATGAATAAAAAATATTGTCCCTGAGCTGCTTATTGCCACTGTCCTGATAGAGGTCACGATGCCCTGAGGTGGAATGCAAACTATTCAGCTGCTTCAGTGTGTTCCAGCAGCTTCTCTTAATCTGCTGATGGTTTTATGATAAGCCATCAATCTTGACACTGACTTGGTTGAGACACACAGCTATTTTGCTGTCTTTTCTCTTCTGTTGGGCCAGCATCATGCAAAGTACAGACAGAATACAACTCTTCAGTGATTCCTGTTAGAGACTCCAGAAACCACCAAACACACAAGTTGAAGCTCTAATACATAGATCTGAGATACCCAAATGCCTCTCCCTCCCTAAATCCCTAAACCCATTAGGTTTCAATGAGAAGTTCATAAACATCCCTGACAGTCTGGTCTAAGGAAGCCCAGTTCCTCTATCAGAAGCAAGGTTAAATGAGATTAAAATAAATTACAGTCCACTTTATTACCACATTCTTATTAAATTAGAACTTGCTCAGTCTAATTGCAGAATGTTACCTAATTAAAACTGAGTATTCTGGGCATCAGTGATTTAAAGCAGAAGTTCACTTCTACTCAAATAATATTAAAATAATCCTAGCCGCCAGGAGAGCTACTACATCCTCTCCTTTTGCTTGCAGAACTGTTTCTATATCCACATGATGTAGCAAATCAAAGAGTTGCTTTATCTGAAAATCAATGCTACTAGAAATTATCAGCTTTAGCTAGATCTTCTTATCAATCTACCTCATTACATAGTTATGTGAAAAATACTAGCACAAAAGGGGAGACTGAAAGCAAAGACATTCACTAGAAATAATAATAAAAGAGATTAACTTTTCAGGATTATCAAAATTACAATTATCACTTTAAAATGTGAAACTAAATTATGATAGGCAACAACAAGAAACAATTACAATGAAATCATGTCTCTATGGAACTGAGATCTCACACAAGATCAATCTATCAATGTACTCATCACATGCTAAAAACATTTGTAGGTATATAATTACATCATACTTAAGAGAACACAATGAACAGAAATTTACAAAATCTGTGACCATACATCATGGCTAGACATATAGAAGACACTGTGGAAATACAAAATAATCATTACATGGTTACAAATACATACCAGATGAGCAAAGCAAACTTTACAATTAATTAAATTAATTTTACAATATCAAGTAAAAGTCCACACCAGAAACTCTATGGTACTACTAGCAATTGAGAAGTGAAGAACACAAGAAGTGAAAACAGAAGAACAATTGATGAAACTCTGAGAGTTGGAAAATTAATACCTTCTCACATATACAGTAAGCGAGAATCAGTCAGTAGAGAAAAAAACCAAAATATATCCTCTCCAGCTTGGATCACAATGTAGCCATTTTCAGACTACTATAGTAGTAAAGACTTCAGGAGCAGAAATCTTCTAACAAGTATCTAACAAACATACAACAACTCTGCATATAAGCAAATCCAAGTTCAAGAGTAGGGAGGAGAAGCTGGGGACAGGTTTCGGAAAGGACGTGAAAAGAGAAGAAAGTGGTTGAGTTTTTTTGTTCAGAATGAAAGCCTTTAAAATGTGAAGACTCTTTCTGAACTTTCCCAGAAGATCACTAGTAAACATCAGCTTAGCTGTAGCATACAAAGGTTTTACCCATTATTAATCAGCTCCATTGCACTGTACAAGAAACACGGAAGATACTCACCTCAGTAAATTGAAAATCTTCAACTTGCAGATTAGGGTGAAATAAGTAAATGACAATACAAAAGACATTGTAACAAAAATACTACTTTGATGTCACCTGTAGATATTTAAGGTGCAAGATCTGCTTTCTATTATTGCGTATTTTTAATGTATATGGAGATAACACCTTCCTTTCCAAACGGGATACAACAGAGGTGTCATTAACAATTTGTCTCAATCTCAGCAAAGCTATTTCTACAGACAGATTTTCAGAAAAGGCAGTGGCTTTTTGGATAAGATCAAGATTAGTCCCACGTAAGGAACCTGAAGAAGAGTGAATAATGCATCTGTGTGAGAAAATGAGGCATGGAAAGACTGGACTGACATTACTATCAAACAGCAACAGGCAAGTATATTGTATTACAATAGATGAAAAATTCCTGACAAGCCAAAAGTACATACTCTTCTACATTATATAAAAGGTACAGGCAGAGGTTACAGGCAGAGTTTCAACTCTGTTTTTACTCCACTCAGTACAATGACAGCAAGATGCTATTCAACAGCACCAGCTTCCATGGATGACTGTATTAACATACATGCACAGTAAGACTAGCTCACAAAAAGCCTATTAAGCAGAGTTGAAGGTACCTTTCAGCAATGAGAACAATGCAGAAGAAAAAAGAAATGCTTCATTAAAAGAAAAAGAAAGTTATGTCTCAAACAACTGCTCGAGTAGAGAAAATCAGATAAAGATGTCAGGAGAAGGTCAAGGCCAGGTTGGAAAGCAATTGATAAGATGAAAGACATGAAGTGGAATCTTTTGCCATTTAAAAAGGTAATTATCTAGTTAGGACATATATGCTGGAAATGTGATGTTTAACTGGAAAAAGAGCAAATAAATTTGCTGCCACATTGGAAAAGAAAAAAAATGACCTATGCTGTTTTTTGTGAGGTAAAACCCAGAATGGATACACATCCTTTTGGTGATATGTACCATAGGCAAACCATTTCCTCCAAATTTCCCTACAGTCAACAGACTGCTTTGATTACAGCAACTAAGAGCAAAGCAAGTTTAAAAAAAAAAGTTTTAAAAAAAGCAAATCCTCTAGTTAGTAAATTTCAGCATAAAAAAAAAATACCCAAAACATAAACAGAAGTCAGTATCAAAAGCAGTGGACAAAATGATAACTTAAATATTATGCCATGCACCCTACAAAGAGAAAACTGTATCACCAAGAATATATATTCTAAATACTGAGTGCAGGCATAGACTAGAAAAGCACTTAAAATAGCAGAATAAGCAAACTGAGAGGGAGCTGCAGCTGGTTCTCCAATTACTAGGTATTGTTTAAAAATGCATATTCATCTCAAAATTCCCCAGAACATTTGTACTCTCAAAGAGTACTTTCAACACAGTAGTTGAAAGATTCATACTTTAAACTACTGAATTTAAATTATTCAAATAGCTGCAAATAAATACTTTCAACAAGAAGAAGGAGGTAAGATGATGAAAACCAGAACAGAGGGAAGTATTAACACCGTATTTTCTACAGTAATTTCTAAGGACTATAGAACTGATCTCTGAATTTTTCTCATCTGAAAGTTCAAACACATGCAGGATGCTAGAACAGCTCTGTTACCAGCCTGTGTTAACTGCCCATGAGAGAATATTTGCTTGGAGTGAGTACTAACTCCCTGAATTATTGGTACTAATAACATTAGCACTCAGGGAATCTTGCAAAATCAACTGCAGGGGAAAAGATGATTAAGTACAACTCTGTGCTGGTGAGAAACATATTAAAAACTCAGAAATTCTTAATACATATATACAGATATCCCATTATAGGGTGATTTTTTTGTAAATTACAGCACCTAATTTCATCTTGCCTATATGCTTAACATAGTTGAAGGTAAAAGAACTACTAATAGACAGAAAATTAAAGGAGTGAGGAGTAAAACACTAAAAAAGCTGTATGTAAACACAATGGTCAGCAATGTTTCACAGCAACATTTTAGGAAATACCTGAGTAGATAAACAGCTCTTTCAATATCACTGAGTTCTTCATCAACTGTCAATCTTTCTATTTCTTCTGGTGTCTGTCAAGTGTGAAATAGAGATTATGAGTTTACAATGCCTGACTACTTCACTGTTTTAATCTTAAAACAACCCATTTCTCCCCACACATACAGGATTAGCTTCATGAGTAATTTGAATTTATTCATGAAACCTCTAGCCAACATTTCAAATTCAATCAAAAAAATCTTTCACCAGGAAAAGATGGAATGTCAGAAAAGTAGTTTCAAGTCAGACACTATCACTATTGAACATGTGGCATATAATTTAATCTAAAGACCCAAGCTAGGCTATTTGTTCCCATCTTCATATTCTTATGCTGAAAACATCAAATCCCTGATATATAGAATTCGTGATTGTTTATTCTAAAATTACTGACACCAATGTTTCTTATCCTGGTGCTATTAAAAAAAAAAAAAAACCCAAAAAAAAAACCAATCAGACAAATAGACAAATCAACACAAACAAACGCCAGAAAAACGGTCTATTCACTTATTTTCCATAATTAAAACAGACCAAATTTTAAATGGATTTTAAAGCATCGTTCTTTTCCGAGGTATATACCTTCAGGCTCCTGCGTACTGGCCTCTCTATAATAGTTAGTTCCTGCAGGTCTTCTATGTATCCAAAAAGACTGCTATGACTAAAATCCATTTTGGAGAAGCTTATTGGGCGCATGTAACACCTAAAGCCTTCGGCAGCCGCCGCTGTCCGCGAGCCTCACATCGCAGCGAGGGCGGCGGGAGCGGAGCCGGGGCTCGCCCGGCCCGGCGCGCACACTGCGGCAGCGCCGCCGGCCGCCACCCCCGCCCGGCCTCCCGCCGGCA